AAAACAGAACCAACAGGATATCTATATAAAATACAATAGGATATATGTATAAAACAGAACCAATAGGATATATACATATGTACAAAACAGAACCAATAGGATATATACATAAAATATCACCACCTTTCTAAAGGTGGCGATGATATAGCGGACCCTGCAGACCATGTTGGCCAGGGCAATGAGGTATAAATACTATAGCATCATACATGGATTTCTAAGAAATACTAAGATATGGAACAGTATCATACACGGTTATAAAGAATAGGATAAAGATGTAGTATACTATCATACATTATTATAAAGAGGATAACAAACAGTGTAAATTAAAACATAGTAGTCAGATACATGACATAGATAAAATATAGCAACATATGTGGTCATCAGATGGATAACATAGACTTGGTGTAGCTTCATACGTGATTATCAGGTAGATGGTATTGATGTAGTTTAGCATCACCTGTGTCTTCAGGAAGATGGCACATAGTTCATACTTCATATTCTATGCCTCATAGAATAGCATCACGCATGGTATGTGATGCCATGATATAACATAGACTTAGTATAGCATCACATATGCTTGCCAAGGAGACATAGGATGATGGAGACATAGTATAGCACCATGTGGTTATCAAGGATATGGTGTAGACACAGTTTAGTGTAAAATAGGAAATTGTCAGGGAGATAATGTAGAAGTTGTATAGTGTTAACACATGTTTGTCAGGAATATGCTGCAGACATAGAGTCGCATCATAAATACTTGCCAGGGAAATAGTGCAGACACTATGAATCATCACATGTGGTTGTCAAAGAGATGACACATAATATAGCATCATATATGTTTGTCATGGGAATGACTTGTTGTTTAGTATCATAAAATGTTACCCAGGACATGATGCATGCATAGTACACCCATACAGATGGTTGTCACTGAGAGAATAAAGACGTCATATAGCATTGCATGTGGCTTCAATGACATGATGTGGACACAGAGTTAGTATCATACACATTTGTCAGCAAGATGACTCAAGGTTTTGCATCATATATGATTATCAAGGATATGATGTAGATATGGCCCAGCATCAAATGTGGTTTTAAAGGAGTAGATAAAAACACAGTATAGCATAATATTCAACTTTCAACAAGATGACGCAGATACAGCGTAGAAATAAACATGATCCTCGGGTGATAAGACAGACACAATATCATGTCACATGTGAGCCACAGGGAGATGACAGATATAGTGTAGTATCACATGTGACTGTCACAGGATTGAAGCACACCTAGGATAGCACCATGTATGGTTATCAATAAGATGACTCATAGTGTAGAATCACAGTGGTAATCAAAGAGACAGTGTATAGCATAGCATCATGTATGCTTATCACAAAAATGTGGTAGACATAGTGGAACAGCACATGTGGCTATAAGGGAGATTATAGCACCATTGATGGCAATTAAGTTGACAAGGCCAACATAGGGTAACATCCCACATAATAATCAGGGAAGCTGGGTGCGGTGGCTTGTGCCTGTAATCCCAGCACTTTGGGAGGGCAAGGCAGGTGGATCACCTGAGGTCAGGAGTTCGAGACCAGTGTGGCCAACATGGAGAAACCCCGTCTCTACTAAAAATACAAAAATTAGCCAGGCATGATGATACATGCCTGTATTCCCAGCTACTCGGGAGGCTGAGGCAGGAAAATTGCTCGAACCTGGGAGGCGGAGGTTGCATTAAGCTGAGATCACGCCACTGCACTCCATCCTGGGCAATAGAGTGAGACTCCATCTCAAAATAATAATAATACTAATAATCATGGAGATGACTCAGAATATAGCATCATATACAGGTATTAAGAAGGTGACAAAGACCTCACATACCTGGTTATCTAGCAGGTGACACAGACATTGTATAACATTACATGTGGTTATCAGCTATATGATATAGACATACTATTGTGCCATACATGGTCACCACAGAGATGAGACATGGTTTTTAATCATAGCTGGTCATCAGAGAAATGACCCATAGTGTAGAATCATGCATGGTCATCAAGCAAAGCATAAATCTCTCCAAAAATTAAAAGGATGAACAGATCACCTACCATCGGCTGAAGCAGTTGCAATAAGCTTTCCAGTGTAATCAAAGCAGCCGTCTAGTATTTCATCGTCATGGCCTGTTAAGGTTGCCACACATTTGCCATTTGTAGCATCCCACAGCTACAATTAAAAGAAACAAAAAACAAAAAAAAGACTATGACTTTCTGTCTCAAGTGTGAAGATGGCCAGTGATCTTCATGACATGCTTAGGGCTGGTTAAGTAACTGTGCAAAAATTACTTGTGTAATTCTCGCATGTTCAGTTAGATTTACTTTGATTCATGACCAGAGACCACAGCCAACCATCAAGGAAGGCACACCCTAATCACAGAGAAAACCAAAGTCAGACATTTAGAATCTGCCACCACATTAAAGAAAGAAAAAATATCTCAACGTGTATGCTTTACTGGTTGGGGAAGAGTTTTGCTCTTTTTGTAGGAAGGACATCAAATGATTAGGAGCTTCATATAAAACGACAATGTCAGAAAATGAAAAGTACATTATAAAATTG